GAATCTTTAGTTGAGAGGTAGACTATCAAATTTCTATTGAGTCTCATCAAGAGTTTTCTTCAAATCCTTCCTTTTGGTTAGGGTTGTCAAAATGGGTAGTTTAACCCGACTTGGTCCGACCTTATAGACAAAGTTAAAAAAATGTAATGGCCAGACTGACCTATATTTTAAAACAGGCCAAAAATTTTGATTTAGTCGACCCTATATTAGGCCAACGAGGTAACAAACTATTTTTGGCCTAATTTAAAATAAATTTTTTATTTATTTAATTTTTAAAAAATATGTCATTTATTTGTTTATTTTAAATTAACTAATAACCTATTAAGGTAAAATAAAATCAAATGTATAAAATCATAAAAATGTCATGTAATAATATTGAGGAGTTATAATTGTTCATATATCACAAGTCAAACATATTTTACCATAAATATTATATAACACATTTTTTGGTTTTTTTAAATACACGTTATAAACCTCTGTAAACGTTATAAAATTTTGTAATTGAAGTGTTTATAATAACTGGTTTTAAATCAGGATTTAAAACTTTATTTACCTCCTAAACTCTCTCATACTCAACATAATTAAATTGAAGGTCATGTTTAATAATGTATCTAGTAAGTGCATATCGGTAAATTTTAGAGTCAAATTTTCACTTTTTCAACAAGTTAGCCTTATTATCCAACACAACTCTCACATCATGATACTTTGAAAACACATTATATTTAAGAATATGTCAATATTGGTCCTCAAAACAACATAACAGATAAGAAGAAAATGGCAAAAACAAATGAAAATTATGTTTAGAGTTTATTATTCTTTCTAAATCACACACACACACACACACACACACACACACACACACACATATATATATATATATATATATATATATATATATATAACAAAATATATTATCAAATTAATTTATTATACATATATTTTCTAATAAAATAATATTACTTTTATTTTATTGGTAAAATAATTATTATTTTATAAAACGAGCTAATCCGGCATAAGCTTATTTAAACATGACCTAAATAGGTCAGACCAAAATTTGTCTGATTCTATTTAGACCATAATTTTTTTGACCTAACCTGACCTATTTTTCGGGCCTTTCAGGTTAACTGATCGGGCTAAGCCTGTTTTGATACCTCTATTTTTTGTTACCCCAAACAAGTTTGAAGTATTTTTAAGGTGGTGAATAATCAACAAAAAGTGAAGCATCATTACCTTTATCGATTCAATATTACTCTTAATGCCCATGTAATTCATATTGTCCGTCAAAACAAGATGGTAAGTTATTAATAAGAAGTTAATGTACAATGAGAGATGTGTGCCAAAGTGATTTCACTTCAAAATGTGTAGAAAGATGGTCTAATAGTCTCACAAGACCATCCTAACCTCTGATAATAACTCCTGAAGTATTAGAAGATAACTCTGATTATGAGGAAAAATGCAGAGTTGAAACCCACTCTTTTTCAAAAGAAGTTTTTTCATATCAACAAAATTGTGTTCAAAAGAAGAAGGAGCCTCTCCATGAAGTATCATTAATTGTCATTTGGGCTTCAAGGGTTCTTCTTTTTAAGCTCGAGGGCTAATGGGAGCTCTGTTGAGTTCCTCCCTCATTTTTCTATAATCAAAATTAGGACCCATTATTTATGAGAAAAGAAGAGTAAGCTAGATAAACAACAAAAACTTGAAATAATAATTCATCACAATAAAACTACTTGCAACACATAGATAGTTGATCATTGGTCAAAGGGATATTTGTTAATGTTTTATAGTTTATAGGACAAGATAGTTGTTTTACTAGTTTAATGTTATCTTTATTTACACAGGAGAGCAAATGCTCACCATGAGATTGGGATAACAAAATAAACTTTTTGAAGGATTAGAAGGGAAATATTTCACTCGAAAAAAATGAGATTTGAAATTCTTAAATGATTGAGTAAGGTGCAAATCCCACCATACTATGCCTCATTTAGTAAATTCTAGCTGATCTCATCATCATACTTCACTTGATATATAAATACATAAATTTATTAACAATAGGCTCAATGTTTAGAAGGGAACAAAGAGTTTGAAAAGCCTTTAGGAAAACCCAATTGTTCAAATAAAGTTGTGTATAAGCTATATTTAATTCGGTTAGCATGACACATTCAAAATCAATAAAAAAATGGAGATATTTAAATCTTTAAACCAACATTCATAGGCATACATAAGTCCGTCTTCATCAAAGTTACTCATATAAACTTAATCTGAGAGTAAATAATGTTCTATAATCATCAAATCTATATCCCTTTCAAAAACAATATTGATATATTGATAGAAGTTGAGAACAAATACAAAGGACAAAAACTCAAAGGCATAAGTATCTAGAGCACAGAAACCCACGCATACTATAATATTTTTATAATATTTCCTCTTTGTTATTACTCGACTAACTAGGGTTGCATATGTTTTTATAGAACAAACTTTAGTAATATTTTCAATATGCTTCATCAGAACATTTTCTAAAGAAGCAAATATAGTAAACTCTTAATCAGAGTTACTTTCTAAACCTACAATAATTCACATTTATAGTATTGACATAAAAGAGTCAGGTTTACTCCTATTGGAACCAGATATAATGAATAAGAAAAATTTACATATTAAATGTAGAGAAAACTGTAGGGAGGTAGGAGATGAAGAAAGGTAAAAATATTGAAAAGTAAGGAGAAATACAAAAAATAAAGAGAAATATGAAAATAATGTAAGAAAGGAGAAAAAATGATTTTAAAACGCTTAAACGTAATGTCTCTTCGTATACCCACTTGTAATATTTTTATTATTATTTAATAAAAGTCAATTTTAAGTAAATAAGTTACGCTAAGTAAACCTCACAAATACTGGAATATAACTCAAATGAACCAAATACTCATAATGATCCTAAGTTCGAGCTATCTATATTCCTAAAAGAACTCAATTTTTGAATTTGGAGACTTGTGTAATGTCTATTAAAATCATAATATTACTCAACTAACTAGGGTTTTGTATGCTTTTATAGAATAAACTTTAGTAATATTTTCAATATGTTTCATCGGAACATTTTCTAAAGAAGCAAACACAATATATTTTTCATTAGAGTTACTTTCTAAACCTAAAATAATTCACATTTCTAGTATTTATATAAAAGAGTCAGGTTTACTTCTATTAGAACTAGACATAATAAATAAGAGAAATGTACATATTAAATGCAAAGGAAACTGAAGGGAGACGCACATTATGAAGAAAGGTGAAAACATGGAAAAGTAAAAAAAAATAAAAAAAAAGAGAAATACAAAAATAAGGTAAAAAAAGAAAGAAAAATTTGTAAATACTTAAATGTAATGTTCTTTCACATACCACTTATAATATTTTTATTATTATTTAATAGAAAATAATTTTAAATAAATAAATTAGACTAACTAAATCTCACCAATATCAAAATATAACTCAAATTAACTAAATACTTGTAATGAACTAAGTATGTGTTATTTATATCCCTAAATAAATTCGATTTCAGAATTAGTTTGCCCATTCAAATTATAATATTTATCTAAATATTTTATTATATATTATTTTATTATTTATTTTTAATATATTATTATTTTTATAATATGTTAAATTATTATCTTTTTATTATTTATTTTTAATCTGACTCAATAAGTAAATCTCATTTTATTCATGTTCTTAAATACATTATTTTTTTACTAAAAATTGACTTGAAGCTAGAGTCACTTTTACAGGCAAATCTTTTAAAATTTAACCTATTAGTCTCTTAAATTTAATCTGACAGACTCTTCCCAACTACCACCAAATCAATATGAATGACAAATATTTCTTTAATTTTTTTATTTCATAATATATATAATAATGATGTTACACTATCTTTCGTTTGTACCATATCGAAACATTCTGAGTTTTCGAGATCGAAAATAGTTAATCTTTTTAAAAGATCAATTATGTGATAACGTAATCTTATAATTGCGTGAGGAAAAATTATTAATATAATTACAACTTTAGATTTCACAAATCATATTAGATATTACCAGGTATCGTTTCTATTTACAAAATATGTTTTTACATAATCAAAATCATAGTTTAACCTAAATTATATTATTCTTTCTTACAGTTAAAATTATTTATATTTAATTAGAGTATAGATCTGTTTTATGTTAAAATACAAATAAACTTTAAAATACACAGTTTTATATATTTTTAATTTAAACTTAATTACCAAGTGCAAAATATAGTTTTCTTATAATTAAGGAACAGTTATTTGTGAAAAACAATAATATTTTTTAAACAACGCCTAGTAACACGACACAATATTAATGTAACAAATACTTATTTAAACGATTTTATGCATAACTTCTAATTAGCTGGAAATGCTTTAAAAAGTTAAAATAATATTTTATCGAGGCTAAAATTTCTTAAAATATATTATGTTTATAAAAAAATTCTAAAAATATTTGTATTTATATAAAATAGAATTTCGACTAATAAAAGATGTACAAAAGTATAAAAATATAAAATATAAAAATAGATAAAAGAAGAAAAGAGAAAAAGATATGAATGGTGGTAGTATTGTGATCTTTCCAAGAATCACACAGGAGAAGGTAATTTAATGTTTTGATTCCTTGAGAAGGGCAATAGATAAAAGTTTAGGTTTTGAGTTTTGTTCTGAAAAAAGCAGGGAAGCTGCATGTCTGCGTTCCTTGGTCGAATCTCTTCATCTCTGTCTCTTTCCCTGGACCGCGCGAAACACGTCAATTTCTCTTCAAACCACAAAAACGCAGTGTTTGAACAAAACTGTTTTTTCTCCACCGCTCCTTCTCTATATATATCAAACAATCCTGAACCCTCTCTAACCCTCAAACCCTATCTGCTATATCTCTCTCCATTCACCTTCCACCACACATTAAACCTCTGGGCGTGACAAGGCTAGTTTTTTTCACTCATTTACAAGACCCATTACGATGGCCATCCCCTATCCCCATTTCATTGCCACCGAGAAGGCCGCCATGGACGCCGGCCTCCTCCTCCCCTCCTCCTCCCCATCCGTCATCTTCACTCAAGACGACCTCAAGAAGATCGCCGCCTACAAGGCGGTCGAGTACGTCGAATCCGGCATGGTCCTCGGCCTAGGCACTGGCTCCACCGCCAAGCACGCCGTCGACCGCATCGGCGAGCTTCTCCGCCAGGGTAAACTCAAGGACATCGTCGGAATTCCCACCTCCAAGAAAACCCACGAACAAGCACTCTCCCTCGGGATCCCCCTCTCCGATCTCGACTCCCACCCCGTCGTCGATCTGGCCATCGACGGTGCCGACGAGGTCGACCCTTTTCTCAACCTCGTCAAGGGTCGCGGTGGCTCCCTCCTGAGGGAGAAGATGGTGGAGAGCGCATGCAAGAAGTTTATTGTTATCGTTGATGAGTCCAAGCTCGTGAACTATTTGGGGGGGAGTCGATTGGCCATGCCCGTTGAGGTTATTCAGTTTTGTTGGAGGTTCACTGCTGAGAGGTTGCGCAAGCTGTTTGAGGAGGCCGGGTGTGTTGCCAAGCTTAGGACTTTCGGGGAGAAGGAGGAGCCCTTTGTCACGGACAATGGGAACTTCATTGTGGATTTGTATTTCGAGAGGAGTATTGGGGATTTGAAGGCTGCCAGTGACGCAATTCTGCAGCTTGCTGGGGTGGTAGAGCATGGTATGTTTCTGGATATGGCTACCACTGTTATCGTGGCAGGGGAGCTTGGCTTGACAGTGAAGAATAAGTAGTTGTTGGGTATTGGAGGAGGTGGTTAGGACAATGAAGGTAGGTTAATTGGTCAAGGCTGAGGTTTTGACATGGGATTCTAACTCATTGTATGGTGTAGTAGCAAAGTTTTTTATTCAGAGGAAAGGGGAGGGCATTTTAATGAAATCCTTTTATTATTAAAGACAAATGGTGGAGATAGTTTCTTAATTCTCCTGTAGTTTTGTTTGTTTTTGGGGGTGGGGTGGGGGGTTAGTTTGAGCAAGCTGAAAGACGATGAAGACTTGTTGGAGAGCTGATTATTAGAACATTAATCTCATGCAACGGCTGTTGTGTGGTATTGAATCAATCGTCCACACAATTTGTGTTGAATTGACAGTGTTTAACATATTAAATCTATCTAATTCAAATTTTCTTTATTACCCTTTGACTTGCTATTATTGAATCGCCATTGTTGAATTGTACAATTATTGTGTAGTGCCTATTTGTTTCATAGCATGCTGGGTTTGATGACTAGTGTGTTTGGTTTCATGATTCAGATGAAAATTCAGAGGCTTTTAGTTATGACCTCTACATCCTAAACTTAGTTCTTCAATTATCAATGGATTTTCAAACACTAGTCATGTAGATGCATATGCGTGTTAACCTGAAGCAAATACTTGTTGGTTCTGTGTGTTTTGGCAAATTGTGTCGCACAATGAACCAAACACATGATCATTGTTACATAGAATTGATTTTGAACATTAAATATACATGGGCAAGCCCTTTGGCAGTGTTTGGAAAGCTGTTCTAGTCTGTTCAACAGACTTTGTACACCTGAGACAGTCATGTAGACGGAGGAGTGGGCTCAGATTTTGGCATTATGTTGAACCTGACAATAAACATTTACACTTAGACCCAACAATAGACATTTACAGTTATAAGGAGGAGACGGCTTCAATTGATGTTGCACTGGGGTGGCTTGGATTGGTGTTACGTTGGACTCGACAGAAAAACAAACACTCATAGCTATTGTATTGTAGCATAACTACTTTATCTTTTGTTGTTATTGTGTATCTCAAATTCTCTATTTAAAAGTTGTTTTTAGCTTGTTGCATCCATTCATTTATTAGCTGTTTGGACTTAAATAACCTGATTAATAGTTGATGTCTGTATCTGCAATCTGATTGGAGGTACCCTTGTTAACAAGGATTCATGCTATGCTTTAGCTTGTTACTTGAGTTGCAATCAGTGGTGGAGGGAGGTTAATGTGTTAAAAGAGATATGTAGTTATCCGTTCATTGACTTTCAAAAGGATTGGTTGTTCTGTCTATATTTTTGGTTCTCCACTTATGATTTAAGCCCCTTCTGATGCACAAAGAGTTGAACTGTATACCTAACTTGTGTCAATGACTAACAACAATACTTCTATTTACAGGACCTAAGTCTCCAACAATTATTTTTAATCATCAGAGAAATATCATTAGGAGGGAAGTTAGTTGTGTTTTGCTTATGATGATATTTTCCTTACTGGAGTCAATGCTCACCTAGTTGCTTTCCTTTATTGGTTTAGGTAGATGAAGTAAAAATTCTGTCATTGTTTTGAAATACATTATTAGAGAGGCTAATGTGCAGCCGAAAAACAATGCAATGATGTCCAATGAAAATGGAATTTAGTTAGTGCTTTGCCTTTTGGTATTGGGTTGCTCCCATACTGAGATAAATCAGGTATTATGTGGAAGCATTGAGAGGATCTATCGCAAGCTGCAACTGGTTTGAGAACCGGAATATTCAATCTAAGCTACCCTGTGGTCTATATCTGTGATTTCTTGAATTTATACGCTTTTGGTGACCCAGATAAGATATTTTTGTTCATATATTATACGTCTAATATTACACTATATCTCATTGATTCATTGTTATCCTATTATTAAACTACATGGTCTTTATTTTGAGCTTATGGTGTTAGACAAGCTGCTGGCAGCTGCCACAATTACTGTTGTGGAATATTTGGGGACATGTTGCAATTGACGTGTGAAAGTGTTGTAGACTTTTGCCCTCGAGAGTTAAAATTATTATTATTGGTTATCATGCTACTCTACCAAGTTTTACTTTTAAGCTACAAATGTAGTGCAAATAGTGAGACCACTATGGTGATAATTAAGTATATCCTAACTATGTTTATCTTGTTTAGATTTTGGACATCAATAAGAAATAGTTCACACCTTTGTGTCATTTCTCATCTGTTTAGTTGAATTCTATTTCTTAGGATAGTCCCATATTTGGCAGGGAAAAATATTATTTCACAGAAAAATGTTATACTGTGATTAATACAAGAACGATCAACCTTTTCTTATTGATTCTGTCAATGTCATGCATTATTGTTTGTGTGGCTGGATGCTTTCTGACATTGGATCAATGACAATTTTAAATGTTTTTCATATGCTGCTGCAGTTGAGTATGACTATTTGGATGTTATAGGCAAATAAAACTTTGCTTCATCCCTGCTTTTAGCTTCTCTACAATATGCTTTTACCTTCTCTGCAATACGCTTTTACCTTCTCTACAATATGCTTTTAATTGGTATATTGAGAAACTAGCTACAATGCCAGCTCAATTGGATATTTGGATGTTATTGTGCATTTAATTATGTCTAAACTAACACTGTCAAAACAAATAGTTTAGATCAGTTTGACTTATACTATGAAACAAGTAAAATAAATTGACGTTTAACTTATGTTTTAAAAAAAATCATAATAATTTTTAGTATAATATGATCTCAAGGGTGGTATGATGTTTAGTGTGCAATTCTACAAGACTTTTCTCAATTCCTTTCAAGGTTATTCCCCTGATGAGCAAGGCAATGGGTTCTGTCAAAATGTATCAGTTTCTTGATTCCTTGTTATATTTTTCATACCTAGCAACCTATGTATTACTAGCAACCTATGTATTACTCGTATTCACCTCTCAAGACCATGGCTTTGAAAATATATTTTTTATATTTTTTTATCGTAATACTCCTTAATTCTCCCTGCATGGCCTATCCTTTCCATGTATGGTGTTTCCAGTTACAGGTTAAGATTTCCAGGAAATGTATTTGATTTTACCATCAATCAACTAGATAATAGGGAAACTGTTCCTGTCATATTCAGAAGAAATGTTGATAAATTTCATGGTATGGGATGTAATGTGATATGAACAATTTCATGGTATGGGATGTAATGTGATATGAACATTAAGGAGGTATGTTTCTTCATCTCATTTGTTTCTTTTACCCAGATGCCATCAATTTCATCAATATGACAACCTATAAAATAAACTTGTAGACTATGGGATCTAAACTTAAATTGAGGGGATTGAGATGCCAAAAATGTATTTATATCAATTGTGTTGGTTCTTGCAAGTTTTTTCTATTTCTCCTTCTTATATCTGTTGTGTACGTGGTTTATTAAGTAGTTTAGCAATTAAGCTTTTTGATTAATTGCATAACCATTTATATGGTCTTGTATCATGGGTTTTTGTGGGTATTTTTTCCCGCATCCCCAGCTAGTGACTAACATTTGAAGGTGAGTCTTCATGAAGTTAATGGTGCTGCTTTGTGGCTCAAGTTCAAATCCTGGAAACAGCATGTCTTTCGAAGGGAAGACTATAATCTTCACTATGTGACCTTCTTGTGCATTCGAAACCAGTTTAGGGAATTTCTTTACTATCCCTATTCGTGTTGCAAAAAAAAATTAGAGTAGAAGGTAAACACACATTACCTCTCTTTATTACTAATTAATATCTGCAACTGTAATCTTATGTTTTAGTATTCTCTACGTGCTAATCTTTTTGAACACAACATAACTATGTTCGAAAGAATCAAAATTAGACTATCAGCCGTGGTAATCTTTTTGAACACAATATAACTCTGTCGTTTTTTTTTTTCCTGGTTATTTCCCCTATATAAGAATTTCCATTATAACTGTTTTTCTATCTTTATTGCTTTTTTTTTGGTTAATTTGTCTATTTTATTGAAAATTTAGTTTAGGGAGTTAGCAAGTCTTTCGTTACTAAAATGAATTAACTCTGAATACGAGAACTGAGGCTGAAGTGGTCAAATCGAACATTCCAACTGCCATGAAGGGATTGTTTCGACTGATGCTGTTTTAGCTTCAAAAGTTCTTTTGCTTGTCCTGCTTTCCTGTAATACAATAATCCATTCCAATGTCTTAGTTGCTAGCAAATGACGTATCTGTTCAGCCAGATGCAGCTCAAACCAAGAGAAGGCATGTGGACCCTCAATCAGACATAGAAGATTATGACAAATTGCTTTTGGTTAAAATCACTTATTTAAGAATTAGATAGGATTTACTTCTATTAGACAAACACATCAAATATTGGTTAAAAAACCCTACACCCTAACGCTACCCATAAATTAAAAATATCCCCAAACCATACATTTATTTAGTATTTATACCATTAAAGCATTACATTATTATTATTATTATTATTATTATTATTATATTATCATTTTTTTATTTTTTTTATAAGTTTCCTCCACCCACTCTAACAACTGATCTTGCTCACAATATTTTGATGGTGGTTGATTTGATGAATTTCAGATGTCCAAGAAACTATTCATCAACCATTACTTAAAGTTAGAGTATGTCAACGACTTGGTTTTGAAGTCACATGAAAATGATATGACAGTGAAGTTTGGCTTTGATGGTTGGATATGAGATTCGGACGCCTGAGACAGAAAATAAACATAACCCAATACTGGTTAAAAAAAAAAGTAATTTCTAAGATAGAGTTGCTCCAGAGCATCAGAAGAGAAATGTAAGAATTCATTTAATGTGTTACAAGTACTTGTAGGACAATACAATAGTTCATGCAAACGCTGATTTCCCATCGACATATTCTAACTTTAGAAAATGGTTGATGAATGGTTCGTTAGACATCTTACCTTTACACACACTTTAGTAGTGATTTATATACCCGAAAATTCATCAAATCAACCATCATACAAACAGTGTGAACAAGATCAGTTGTTAGTGTGGGGAGTAAACTTATGAAAAAAAATTATAATATATAGAATACATAATAATACTAAATTTAATGCTTTAATGATATAAATGCTAAATAAATGTATTGTTTGGGATATTTTTTTATTTATGGGTAGTACTAGTTTATCTTTCAATTTAGTTTAATCACTTGGAAAAGTTAGCTTTTGTTGTATTTTTTTTACCATTATTTGCAAAAATAGTCTGAGCATATATATATATATATATATATATATATATATATATATATATTATTTCAAATATCAATCTTATTAAATTTACAATTTATATAAAATTATTTTTATCACATTAACGTAAAAATAGATGTATAAATAAATTAGAGTGTGGTAAAATAATTAATATTTTGGAGAAGACCATCTACAAAGAATCGAATGATTGGGATATGTGGTGAAATACTTCCCAGTTTTTTTTTTTTAACAAATAGTTTTTAAGGACAAGTATATCCGTTATCGTTAAATGTTAAATCTACTAAGGGATTGATTTCTCTTAGAAGATTTTTTTTTTACACATGATATTCATTTTCTAATTACATTACATGCTAAAGGGATTAAAATTATGTATGAACTAGAGAACTGTATAACTTTACTCAACAAAATTAATGTGTAAACTGAGATAACCTTATTTATGTATTTGTTTCTGGTGGAATTTCGATTTATTTCAACCCTCGAGATGTTTTGATACTAACCAAAATTCTACCACGTAAGTTCTTTTTACTTAGGCTAGCAAATTAATTTTCAATCGAAATACATATGAGGATCGAATCTTACCTAGTATCGAAAATGCTACTTTTTTGGTGTTTTGTATTTAAGATGCAGAAAGCAATAAAACGTCGAATCGAAAAACAATACAGGATACTAAATTGCTGAAACCTGTAAAATGCAGAAACCTTAAAAATACGTTAAATGTAAATGACAAGGAATCGAAAGAACGGAAATGTAAATGGCAAGGAATCAAGATTGCAGAAAATATACCGGAAATCGAAATTGCATCAATGTTAAAGGACAAGGAAGCTTAAACGTGGAAACTTAACTTTCATTGAATTGAAATGACAAGGAATCGAAAGAACAAAAAACATAAAATTGCTGAATATAAGGTGCATCAAAATAAATTACCAAGGAAAGTAAAGAAAGCGGTAAAGGTACTCGATGAGCATGGAAATCCAGATTGCCAGAAGCTTCATGGTGTTCGTCATGTTCCGGTAGACTTCTCACTACTAATTCTGTTCTCTGCCAATTTTCTGCTCTCCCTTTATTCCTTCCTCTTCTGCTCTATTTATAGGGCATCATTCAAGCCTTCCAGGAGCAGTTAACAAAACTGCACCCACGTTCTCATGATCTTCAACCTCTGCCACGATTTAGAAACTGTTTCCTATGTGCGTGTTTAACTCCTCCTCTTTATGATCTGGCCACGATTTTGATATTTATGCGGGTTAACCTTTCTTTCGATTTAGACTTCGATTTTATCGAGAACTTTGGATTACTTTTGATTCCTTTTAACCTTAGCATCATATACTTCTAATTTCTTGGTTTGTTCCACAATAAACTTTTGACTATTATTTCTCCGATTCCGACTCTAACTTTCGATTTTATGTGCCACGCCCTTCTAATTGGACATCGAATGGTTTCTCATCCACCTTTTCGCTTTACCGATCAATCACATGTTTCTCGATTTTTCTTTCCTTCATTTTTCGATCGCTTTTCTCGATTTCCTACTAACAAAATGCCCCCTTGGAAGAATATAAATAGTTTCTGTTTATATTCTTTCAACACGATTCCCGCCTTTGCTTGTTGGAGGCCCACAAAACTTAGGGTTTAGGGTTTTTGGGGTTCTAGGGTTTACAGGGTTTTCAAGTTTCCTTTTGCTTTATGTCGCCATCGCGTCAGTCTGCTGTCTTACTGTACACGCTACATTAATTACCTTTCACCTCCGTCGTTTCCAGCCCCCTAGGCTATTTTCCCTTTAAACTCTCTATTGGTTTTTTACTCTGGTTTTTTACGCGAACCTTTATCCCTTTGCAATTTCATCTTCTTCCTTGAGCTTTTGTCTTCATCCTTGCGCCTCCATCTCTTACCTTGTTTTCCTCTAATCTACCAATTACTGAAATGGCAACTTCTTCCAAGTCTTCCGACTTTTCCGCTCCACCCCTTACCTCATTGGCATCTAACCTGCTGGAGATCAACAATCAGAAATTTGCTCCAATCCCCCTGATGGAGGAAGCTTCTCAGAAAATTGCTGAGATGCAGGTACTCATTCCTTACACTGCTGATGGTGTTAATTTTGCTTTCGGGGGTCCTATTCGTTCTAGTAGTGGAACTTTTTCTTCTTTCAACCTCTCAAATAGCCCAGCTCTTATTCACCAACCTGAAGTTCGGACTGATTTTTTGAACATGGTCTCTAGAGTATACCGAACGGGCCCTCCCTCCAAAAAACCTTTGTTCATTAGATGGTTAGATAGGGTTAAGACAAAATTCGGAAACCATTGGAGAGACGTGGGAATTTTCGATTTCTTGCATTTGTCCCAATGTGACTTGTCTCATTTGGATATGTCTATGTTCTTATCTGCTGTTCACTTGTGGAATAAGGAAATACATGCTTTGGAATTACCTTGCGGTCCCCTTTCGCCCACCCTTTTCGAAGTCGCAACCATTACTGGATTAAAACCTACAGGGGAAAGATATTTTAAGGGTGCATATCCTTCGGATAATTCTCTAAGGTCCAAAATCGATTGGGAATCGAAAGCCTATGGTCATTTCCTCGAGAAGCATTTCGTCGACGACGAATCAAAAGCTGTAACTGATGAAGAGCACATAGCCTTTTTGGTGTACTGGTTGTGTACCCATGTTTTCTGCCCCCGATCAATCCAAATTTCCTCCCATCTGTTTAACCTTGCATATCTCCTTCACTTAGGCCACCCTAGAATATGTTTAGCCAAACTTTTGCTAGCACATGTGTATACTGCTTTCGACGAGGCTGTCGAAATTTTGAGTACTCCTAAAGCTTCGGGAAATTTTTCTGGCCCTATTTGGTTTGTATAGTTATGGCTGAATTCGATTTTTGAGAGCATCCTTCCCCCAACTTCCACCATCCCCCCAAGTGTAAATATAGAAGGTGTCCGATTGTCTTCTCGCCATCCTCACCACAAACCCGACGAAGCGACTTATTGTAGATACCTTAACTTTTTGTTAACTAGGTTTAATTTCGATTCAACTTTGGCCCCTTTTACCATACATCTTGGACAAATGAGTGACCAACTTAGGGGGCCAATTTGGTTTAAGTCAAAATTCCCTGCTTTAACTCCTGGGTTGCAATCGGAGCTGGTCGATGTATGGAGTAATTATCTAACTCAGGATGTACTAGTATCGGGTTTCCAATCTAAGGACTTTAAGTTTATCACTTACTACCCCCAACTTCTCTCGAGACAATTTGATTTGAGCCAATCTTTACCCTTTTTTCCCTTTAATACCTTCCCGAGGTCCAAGTTAAGTGAATCGACCATCGAATGGGAGCTGGTCAAACAACTACCACAAACCCCACTACTTTTTTATCCTTATGCCTTTGAATCAAACTATTTATCAACTGTGGGTTTCTCTCAATGGTGGGCCGATTGGTTCTCGAGTAATCATTCTACCTTTGACGAAGTTCGACAGAAATTGACTACTCATCCTTCTCTTGTGTTGCAGGACAAATCGAAAACGAAGAAAGGTACACACTTCCACTGTCTTCAAATATCTCGATTCGAGAATTTTTATCAAATATGTTACAACCCACTGAAATTAGAATCGACCTATTACGATGCTGTTATCTCCTTATCCAATAAAACAGACACTAATCGATCGAACCACAAAATAATCAATCCTCTAGGTAGAACCCCTTTTGAAATGTATTGCCCAAATCGCCTTCCCACTTTTCTCACAGCTCCTTTTGGACTTGCCAAACCTTTAACTCATCCCAAATGGGTTCGAGAATTGAGATCCCTAAGGGAAACACTTCGCCCAAAACCCAAAAATAAAAATATTTCTGTATCGAAATTATCTTATTTCCCTTACCTCCATCTCCCTCAAATTCTCCTACCTTCCTGGCTTGTACATATCGATCGAGTCACGATTTTGACTCCATCACCTTTTGGTGAGATTTTACTGCTTTTTTATGCTTTTTTGATTCTGTATATTGTAAGGTCATCTGTCTTCTTTTATTGACAGTTTCGAAGTCCACCAAGGCCATCGCTGTCGAAAAAGGTCAGGAGAAGAAACAAGAGGACTGGGAGTCCTCAGATGAGTCGGACTCATCGGCCTTTGTCAGAAAACGCAAACAATCGGCCACCATTTCCTCATCTTCGAAGAAATCGAAGGTTCTTTTTGATTTCTCATTGTTTTATTCATTTTTCTGTCTGGTTGATCTACATTCTTATACTTATCTCTTTTCGATTCCTAATTTTAGAAACAAAAATCGAAGAGTCCTCGATCTGTCGAACCAATTGCCCTTGATCCATTGTCGACGGACTCTAACACGATCCTACAATGGGCCAAACAACGCCTGCTACTCGCTCAAGTCACGTGAGTTTTCTTTTTACACTTTATATTTTAGATTTCAATAAAACCTATGACATGACTTCAAAATTCGATATTTTTCCAGGATCATCCATCGGAGACTATATC